TAGACTGCCAATCTCCAGACATGGGGGTCTGCTTCTTTCATAGTCAGAAGCTTAGATATTCTTTGTGTTTGAGAAGCAAAGCAATATGAAATAGCATTTTTTTCTGAGTCAGTGGTTCTCCTTCCTCTAGATCAGGGGTAGGCAACCTTGGCTCTTTTATGACTTGTGGACTTCAACTCCCAGAATTTCTGAGCCAGCCTTGCTGAGGGGAAAGAGAGAGGTTTCCAAAATGAGCCATGCTGGCTCAGGAATTCTGGGAGTTGAAGTCCATGAGTCATAAAAGAGCCAAGGTTGCCTACCCCTGCCCTAGATAATGTATGTATGTATGTATGTATGCATACATATAGGAAGGTATATATATGTAGACATAAATATGTTTTTTTTCCATTTAGGAAGTGTTCCTACATTGTCGTATTCTTGTATGTGGAGTAACAGATGAAAGATCTCGCTGTGCACAGGGTTGTCACAGACGGATGCGCAGAAGAGTTAAACCACAAGAGGAAGGGCATCACATCACACACCATATCCTGACAAGTGGCCCAATTAAAATTGATGTGCAGGAATAGATGTATGAATATATATACACAGATGAAAGTGTACAGCCCATTTATTTCAGAAGCATATGCCCCCCTTGTGTTCAAATTAGATGTAATCTTACATCTCAGTTCTGTTGCATGTGGCAGGGACATTGCATGGGAAATTTGATTTTACAGGGTCAAAGCAGGGTCCTCTTCAATTAGATATGATTTATTCAAAGCATAGTCAAAAATGCAGGGCCATCCATGGCTCAAACAAGTGTCAAGTTGAAGCTACAGCTGTTACAATTGAAGCCTTGCCTCTTTTTTGTATGCATCTAAACAAGTCTTCATATGTGTCAAAATTTTGAGTTTCTGTAAAGCAGTACTGACATTGGGATAACAGTTGGGACTGGTGGTAATGTATCAACATATTAAATTGTCATGCTTAATTGTGTGTGTGTGTGTGTGTGTGTGTGTGCATGTTTTGGAAAGTTTACATGCTCATAGGCTTAATTATGGTTTCACGGATCTAGGGTCTTTCCCTACTGATCTGAAATAGGCACTGCCGTTCTGCACCCTCACAATACTTTAAAGCTGCTGGCAGTCTTTTCTTTCTCAATCAATTAATTTCAGAAGTTAATTGGCTACTAATCTAAAGGAAACACAACAAAGGCATATTTGTTGCATATTTTCTTAGTTCCTATTTGGAATCTTCCTCAGCTTCCCCATTCCCAAGAGCTTCCCTCCCCTCCTGAAATGAACATATTGTAATAATTTACACTATCGCTCCACTACTTTCAGGCTGTTTTGAGAGATGTTTTCTCTGTGCCCCTGTAGAATGATCACTTTCTTTTGAAGAAAAAAAAACAGAAAACCCCCATGAAAAGCAAATGCAACATGAAAATAAGAAAGAAGGGGAAGGGTACCAGTTAATATGGAACCAATAAAGGAGAATATTTGTAGCTCATGGCTGAAATGAAGGGTCTTTGGTGCTCTCTGAGCTTGGTTGTTTTCTTGCAGATGTTTTATTACCCAAACTAAGTAACATCATTAGTGCTGGTAGGGAGTGGGGTTTGCTCTCAAATTATATTTTAATCCTAACAACAGAAGTAAACAATACCCCAATTAAGGAACTGACAAACAAGCTAACAGTAAACAGGCCAACCAAAGAATATCTAAAACCACACCCACCAACACTGACAGGGTAAGCCACTAGAATATAAATTGAGAGCAAACTCCACTCCTTACTAGCACTGATGATGTTACATAGTTTGGGTAATGAAATGTCTGCAAGAAACCAACCAAGCTCAGAGAGCTAAGGACCCCTCACCATTAAGGACTCGCATTGGCCAGTTGCAGGAAGAGGAAAGGAACAATTCTTGGAAAGTGATGGGGCAAAAATGTTAGTGATGATTGGGTAGACAGCATTGTGGTAGTGTGGAAAGAGCACTAGCCATTCTAATACTTTCTTAGCAGTTCTGCAGGTGTTGAGAACGTTCTCCATGATAACTAAGAAAACCTTGCAAATTGGAAGGAAAAGAATAATAATTTGTAAGTCATACAAGGATTGAAAACGTTCCTGTTCTCAGATTAATGCACACATTCATAACGTTTTCAGCCTGCTCAAACTCAGGCTATAAAACCTGGCTGTGCAACCATAGAAATTGATAGGCTCAAGTCTGAATTATTCAACTTCCTGAAGAGAAAACCGTGACATTTAAATACACATTTTTTCCAGAAAATTTATACATCACACTATTACAGACTTTGAAAATGTTCTGCAACTACTGCATACCTTACTATTATCTCTTTCTTACCACTCTCCCCTTTTTTTTCCTTTATGGAATTATCGGGAATTTTTTTCCCAACAACTTGATTTATGATAGCTCTCTATGCTGTTTAAGAAACTGTGCATCAGTTAATATTGTCTGCAATTCTCCCACCCATCCAAAGTAAGTTTTCCAATCTATTTTGAAAAAAAACACCACATTAATATTTACACAACTGAAAATGACATGTTTTAACTTGCTAAATGTGCTTTTAAAAACCTACTCTCAGAGGTGAGAGTAGTTTTCATGCAAATATTCTTTTTCCTCTTGATTCGAAAAGCTTCTTGGTTTTTTTTCATTAGGATAATATGATACGGTTGTGTATGCTGTTGTGTGTAGGTAGTCCTCAACTTACACTTTGTTTAGTGACTATTTGAAGTTACAGCACTGAAAAAAGTGACTTATGACCGTTGTTCACACTTATGACTGTTGCAGCATCCCCATGGTCACGTGATCAAACTCAGATGCTTTGCAATTGACTCATATTTATGACAGTTGCAGTGTCCTGGGGTTGTGTGACCACCTTTTGCAACCTTCTGACAAGCAAAATCTGGAGAAGCCAAGTTCACTTAACAACCGTGTTATTAACTTAACAACCACAGTGATTTTACTTAACAATTATGGCAAGAAAGGTCACAAAATGGGGCAAAATTCACTTAAGATATGTCTCACTTAGCAACAAAAAGTTTGGGCTCAATTGTGGTCATAAGTCGAGGTCTACCTGTATTGTGATAATAACAATTTGGGGGAAACCAATGAAACATTCCTTATAAACAGCATGTCTTTCACAGGATCATAAGAAAAGGGGAAAGGGAAAGTTTTCTCTCTGGGGGATTGTGAAAAAGAACCAATCCATCTGATGTAAAAAGTTGGCCAATGCAACCCAATTACTGTAGTACAATAAAGCAGTTCCAAATACTTCAATCTCAGTCAGAAGGAGATTTAATTCCTTTACCCTGTGTTCAGAGAAAAAAAAATCAGTTCTCTTTCTTTAGCGAGCAATGGACAATCTATCAGAATGGTTCAATTTTAAAGAGGAGGGTATGGAAAAAGAATCAGGACAGCCCAAGAATTTTACGTGTATGAAATATATAGAGTTGTGTCACTTGAAGTTGTAGAATAGTAGTAACTCTATGTAGTTAGAAGTAAATTCCTTGCAATCCTTGATATTATTTTAAACTGTATATGTCAGTGATGGCGAACCTTTTAAAGACCGAGTGCCCAAACTGCAACCCAAAACCCACTTATTTTTTGCCGGGTGTCCACTAGGTGGCCGTGGCTGTGGTGGTCATGGCAGACTGGGTGGGTGTGGCCAAGGTGGGCATGGTCACTTTGATGTTGCTTGTGGGGAGGGACACCTCTGGGGACTGGGCAGGGTTGGAGGAGATCCGGGGGGTCTCTGGCAGATGAGGCGGTGGGCAGGAGGCTCGTCCTGCGAGGTGAGGCGAGGCAAGGGGAGGCAGGGCGGGGGTGCCATTGTCACAGGGCAAGGTGAGGCAGGGGCTGGGGTGGCTGCTGCCTGACACATCGGCACCCACACACAGAGGCCAGCGAGCGCATGGGGGCCGACAGTTTCCGTCAGCAGTCACAGCCTGCTGGCCCCTCAACCGGTGCACTCTGGGGCTCTGCAGCCCACCAGCAGCAGTTCAGAGAAGCCGATAGCTGTGGAGGCGATGCAGTGGGTCGTGCCCGGGAAAAGGAGAGCATGCGAGGCCAGGAGGGATGGGATGGAGGGGAGGGAAACCAGCCGTGCTGGGATGCCTCTGGCCACGTGGGACCTCGGTGAGTTAAGGGGCACCTGGTTGAAGAGGGACGGTTGCCATCTCTGGGGCATGGTGCGCGTGCCCACAGAGAGAGCTCTGAGTGCCGCCTCTGGCACGCGTGCCATAGGTTCGCCACCACTGGTATATGTTATTTAATAAAAGTTTGAAATGCTCTGCATTTTATACTGTTCTTATCTATCTATTCATACCTTTTTCTTATTATGAGATGATCCATAATTTTCCTCTTAAATGGAACAATGATTTAGTGAAATAAAACGAGTATTATACAATGACTTCATACTCTGATCTTGGCGTTTGTCTCTCTCTTGTCTTCAAGCAGATGCCCACAACTCTTGTTTTTGTGTCAAACTGAGATCTGCAGTTGGTAATCTAGTCAATATTGACGGACTTCTTTTTACAGCAATGTAAGATTTCTATGGCTTTGTATCCCTTGAAAAGCAAAAGCAACAGCATCTGAGGAAAGCCTTGGGCTTAGCATACACATATGGACTGCAAAGGTGTATACTGTCAGTGTCATCTTGCAGCCTCTAGATCTTCTTTGATGCATGGATTGCTCATGTGTATCTTAGCTGCTCTTCACATATGACAAATCATCTCTAAGTCAAGCAGATGCTCTGGGAAGTGGATAGAAGCAATTGGATAGAACAAATGAGGGTATCGGACCAAGCAATTCCATTGCTTTTTGGAATTTCTTTCTCAATCGTGCTCACTTGACAATTAATGCATGGGTGGTCATAAGAAGCTGATTCCCAAGCCCCAAAGTTAAGAAACTTGTGCTTGTTCCAGAAGATAGAAGACCAAGCCACTTGTAAACAAAGGATACCAGAAGCCAACATTATCTCACACTACCAAACAGCTTGATGATCATTTCACAATTCATCTCGTTCTTCTTCATTACAGATGCAGGCACTTCTTTGGCTGTTCATGAAGGGACGGCAACCCAAGGTCCTGACTGTTTGGAATATCGTATCGGCTATTGATTCACATGCTGTAGCAAAAGAGAAAGAGATCAAATCAGTCACCTCTTTCTTTTATAAGCCTACTGGGATTTCTTTTCCTTAGACCATAGGAAAGTGATCAAGATCTGAGTCAACCTCCAGAACTGTGCCTAAAGTTTCTATGCCAACACAGCAAACAGAGCCCAAAAGCAACAGTTTTCTTGTTTTATGTAAGCTTCCAAAAATGGATCCAATATTATGAATATTGGTCTCTTGCTTGAGCAGGGGGTTGGACTAGAAGACCTCCAAGGTCCCTTCCACCTCTATTCTGATTGATTTTGATTTTTTTTTATTTTGAAAAGGTGCAGTACTCACTTTAGGAATATTTGCTATAATAGTGTTATATATACAGCACTGACAGAAACATGAGGTAAAGATACCTCATTTTTATTACATTAAGCCTTTAGTATCAAGAAATCATAAGCTGCTCAGTGCTACATTTCTCATCAAATATGCATGGTTCTTATCATCATGGAAGGGCATTTCTTCTTGAGCCTCAAAATACCTTTATCTCTAAAGGGATTGCCATCTTTCTGTTTGGTCCTAAGGGGTGCGTGAGCTGGACCTCAGGCTGTATTCCAGGTTTAGCAGCACTAGTGCATCTTTGCCACTCAGCCAAAGTCCATTCCTGGTAGTTCTTTGGTCCCTCATATACATTGGAAATAGTCCAGTTTCTCCTTTCTCTGGCACTTTTGAGATAACTTGGACAATAAATTCTTTCCCATCAGCAGGAGAAGTCAATAAGCTGCAAAACGCTGTTATATTTATTGTTCCCTTCAATTTGGCATGATATGCTAAAAATATAGTAAAGATTGCCATTTTAAAAATAAAAGCTCTTATTTTCTGGACATGTGAAAGTGAATGAGCTATGAGAAACATAGCAAGGAGGAAAATGGTTTTAATAATTTTTTTCCTGTGCCATTTTCCTATTTAAAAATCCCTCCTTCCCCTGTTGCTACATTATCACCTTGTGGCTAACTTTAGGGTCTCCTTTATCCAGTTAAGACAGAAGTTTTAATAAGTTTGCCTAAAATGCTCTTTCACATGGCTATGCTTTTGCTCAGAAGCACTTTGGAGATCACCAATACCATCAAGACTATCAAGCTGACAGGGCAAACCACTGTATATAAACAAAGAGCAAACCCCCATCTCTTCTAGCACTTAACATGTTTCCAAGTTGGGTAATGAAACATCTGCAAGAAAACAACCAAGGACCCCACACCTTGGAGATCATTTCTGTCCAATTCATCCAACATGAAAGGCTACAAACAAGAGGTGCTCAATGCCATTCAGAAAAAAAGGAAAGAGAACAAGAGGAAAAGACAGTAGAAGTATCTATGGAGACTGCGGGGAGAGCAGTCTCTCTGAACGTCTGCTAGCGCTGCGATCTGGAACCGGAAGCCCTCCAGTCTCTTCTTAAAAACAGTGTTGGAGCATTCACAGCTTCTGGAGGCAGGTTGTTCCACTGATTAATTGTTCTGTCAGGAAATTTCTCCTTAGTTCTAGGTGGCTTCTAGGTGGCTTCTCTCTTTGGTTAGTTTTTATCTGTTTGCTTCTTGTCCTGACTTCAGGTGCTTTGGAGAATAGTTTGACTCCCTCTTCTATGTGGCAGCCCCTGAGATACTGGAACACTGCTATCATGTCACCCCACTCTTTATTAAACTAGATATACCCAATTCCAGCAACTGTTCATTATATGTTTTAGCCTCTAGTCCCCTAATCATCTTTGTTGCTCTTCTCTGTACTCTTTCTAGAGCCTCTGTTATTGTACTTGTGAACTTAAGTGCATGTTAGAACACAGAACACAGAATCATAAGGTGGAAGGGAACTTGGTGGTCTTCTTATCCAACCCCCTGCTCAAGGCAAGAGCTCCTATATTATCCCAATTCAATGGTTGTCCAGTCTATTTTTGAAAACTTCCAGTGTTGGAGCACCGACAATTCCGGGAGGCAAGCTATTCCATTGATTGTTCTCACTGCAGAAAATTTCTCCTTATTTCTAGGTTGGATCTTTCTTTAACAAGTTTCCACCTGTAGGAAGTCAACCCCCCCCCCCCCGAGAATGAAATATTTTGGGGATATTAAAAGAGGCAGGATAGAATATTTCCCCTGAAGGAAAAATGGAGAAAAAATCTTAGGCAGAAACAGCCCCAGTCTCCCTTTCCTCAGGCAGAAACCTGAGGAGGCCAACCTTTAGAAATGGAGATTTGGTAATCCATTCAGAAACACTGGGGCACAATAAATAGCTGGTGGGATTAAGAATTTACTTTCTCCCACCCAGCTCCAAGGACAATGGGAGTCAGGCAACAATAATTAGAAAAGGGCACACTCAAGCACAGGTCAAAGTACATTTCACAACAGGCATCTCAAACACAAACCCCGAAAGAAGGTATAAAAACCCACCCACTCTCAACTCCATTTATCAGCTGTCCCAGAACTGCATGGTGTTGCTGGTTCTGCTCATCAATAAACAGGAACCTTCTTTCTTAAGCAGCCTCCATTTTATTCCTCGCTTGGAACTGAACCTGATTTTTCTTTCAACACACCGATTACTTCTTGTCCTGTCTTTTGGTGCTTTGAAGAATAAATCTATCTTTGTAACAGCCTCTTAAATACTGGAAGACAGTTATCATGTCCTTCCAATCCTTCTCTTCGATAAACTAGACTTACCTCCCTCCCTCCCTCCATCATATGATTTAGACTCCAGGCCCTTTATCATCTTTGTTGCTCTTCTTTGCACACTTTCTAGGGTCTCAGCATCTTTATTGTGGCCATCATTAATATGAAACTAAAACATACAAAGAACAGTTGCAGGATTGGGGTATGGCTAGTCTAGAAAAAAGAAGGACTAGCGATGACATGATAGCAGTATTCCAAAATTTGAGAGGCCGCCACAAAGAAGAGGGGATCAACTTATTTTCCAAAGCAACAGAGAGCAGGACAAGAAAGAATGGATGGAAACTAATCAAGGAGAGAAGCAATATGGAATTAAGGAGAAACTTCTTTACAGTGAGAATAATTAATCAGTGCAACAGCTTGCCTTCAGAAGTTGTGGGTGCTTCAACACTGGAGGTTTTTAAGAAGAGACTGGACAGCCACTTGTCTGAAATGGTATGGGGTCTCCTGTTTGAGCAGGGGGTTGGACTAGAAGACCTCCAAGGTACCTTTCAGTTCTATTCTGACTGACTGGATGCAGTATTCCAAGTGTGGCCTCATTAGTATGGTATAGAGCAGTATTATCACTTCTCATGATCTTAACACTATCCTTCTGTTGACACAGCCCAGGACTGCATTGGCTTTTTTTGGCAACTGCAAGACATTGCTGGCTCGTATTCAAAAGGTGGTCCTCTAGGACATCTAGATCTCTCTGTGTAAGAAGATTTGCAAACTTTCCTTATAGTGTCTGAAGTAAGGAGCTGGAGACAAGAGTACTGGGATAATGGAGACTCAGTGTCTGTAAACATTTCTGACCTGTAGGAACACCGTGGGACTTTCAAGCTCATGAAGAATCCCTGTTCAGAAGTGCCCTAAGTCTTGATGAAAAACAACTATTTCCCCCACTGTGGTTTCTTCTTCTTGGCTTCTGAAATGATTTATGAAAAATAGTTTCTTCTTTTCAGCAGAGTTTCTTACCTCTTGGCGTTCTAGCCAATATTTATAACTTTATTCACCTTTATTAACTAGTAGAATTAAACTGGAAAAGATTTTTGGCAACGTGATTTAAAATATATAGCTTTATAAATATGCATGAGACATTTGCTATAAGAAAGAGAGAACATCTTCTTCCAGATAAATACTTAAAGGAGGATTGAAAAGAGAGAAGAGAGAAATTCAAGGAAAATAAATACAGAAATCAAGGATCGAGTATTTAAAAGGGTGCCTGGATCTGTGAGACCACAGAAAATGATATAAATGGGAAAAAGTGCTTCATAATTAAAATATGGGTTTCATTATTTCTTTCAACTAAATTAATTCAGAAGGCAGACTGTAGCAAAGGTTTGGAATCTAGAAGCCTAATATTTTCAGAGCTAGCTGTAATATGCTTGGGTATCATAATTTTTAAAAGAAGTGTATATGAATTCAGAAATACAAATGAGATTTTCTGTTCTAATTAGTATGATTCAGCATTTTGGGGGATTTTATTCAGGCTAACTGAAGAATAATTTTAGCTAATATGAGATAGAGTTTATTAGCTCACCCAATCATTTTTTTTTCAACAAGCTGTGCATTTATTATTTGTAGCTTTGTTATTGTTCTACATATTTCATTAATGCTGTTTATTATGAATTAATTATGTTGTTTTCATTAATTAAAGCATATACATAACTCACAGAGTTCTTTCACCTTTTTCTATAAACTGTTAGATTTAATGATATTTATATGTAAATTGGAGCAGATTTAATGATAACACTATATTTAACATAATTATAATTAATAATTCAATAAATATTGAATAATAGAGAAATACAACAGCAAGCAAACATTCTCAGAACAAAATAACCTAGTAGTGCCTCCAATATGATATTTATGAAAAATGGATTATACTATTAAATTCACAATTCATCACAATGGTCTTAAAACATTATTTTCCATCATCCTTCTTTCCTTCCATTTTTCCCTTAGAAGAGTAGATCAGTCAAACTGTCCGTCATGTAATTGCTTGTTTTTTGTGTGATAGAAAAGGACTGAGGCTGTGATGGGATGCTCTTTAGACAGGATAAGGTCAAAGATCCCCTTAACAGATTGGAGGAAGATGTGTTTTGATCATAGCCAAAATTAAATGTTGCCCCTGTCTTATATACAGTAGGAGCTGTAGTGGGGCAGTGGTTAGAATGCAGTACTGCAGGCTGACTCTGCTCACAACCAGGAGTTCGATTCTGACTGACTCAAGGTTGACTTAGCCTTCCATCCTTCCAATGTCTGTAAAATGAGGACCCAGATTGTTCGGGACAATATGCTGATTCTGTAAACTGCTTGGAGAGTGCTGAATCTAAGTGCTATTGCTATATGATAATCTCTAATATTAGCCTGCTGGAAAAGTCACTCACCCCTAAAAGAGAAATGAGTAAACGGCTTCTCACGCTTCTAAGTGCAGGAAGAAATTTTGCTAGAAATTAAGTAGGAGGAAATAGGATAGCAAATGGTTTGTATACATAAGATTGTAGGCTCAGTTCTACAATCAAAAAGAGCTAAGATAGATGCTTCTCTGGACATCTAGAAGATAATGCCAGTGAATGTATTGTATCTAAACCTGAGCAAGGACAACTAAAAGTCTAATCTTGTGTATTAAGGTAAATTCCTAGAGTAGCCTCATGCAGAACTGGGCTACATACCCAGAACTAGAGGACAATATCCTAATCCCAAACTTCATGGAAATCAAATTAGACTTCACCCCCATTTACAGATATATAAATAATTACTGAATTCAAACCCGGCAACCAAGAAGTAGTAAATCTACACATTTTATCACCCTAATGAAGCCAATGAATTAGTAAGTCGCTTTTTTTGAGACTGTCCCCTACATCAGTAGCTCTGAAGTATGAACTTCCTAATTTATCTTGTTACATCCAAAAACTAAATTAGCAACCCCTCTTCCATCTAATTGCTTCTGATTGAACCAAAGAGAACTTAATGGTGCATGGGAATGAAATGCTATTTTCTGCCTGAATGAGCTTTTTCAAAATATTTTGTTCAGTGTTCCACGCCTTTTTTAAATCACAAATATATTTTAATAAACTTCTGCATCTTTCAATGTAATAGCCTTCCTTCCTTCCTTCCTTCCTCCCTCCCTCCCTTCCTTCCACTGGCTGGCTTTAGAGCAGCGCCCCCCAACCTTTTGGGCACCAGGGACCGGTTCCGTGGAGAGAGGTTTTCCCACAGCCCAGAAGGGGCGTGATTTCGCATGTTGCCTACATCCTGTGGATGGGGCGTTGCTTGTTTGCGCGGACCGGTTTCTCGCATGCCATGGACCGGTGCCGGTCGACGGACCCCTGCTTTAGAGGAAGTTTTGTTTTTAGTTATTCAGATGGAGGTACAGCCATTTGTTGAGCGGCTGTTCAAAATTACAACACCACTGAAAAATGTGACTTATGAGCAATTCTCACACTGATGACCATCGCAGCATCCCCATGGGCACATGGACAAAATTCAGGTGCTTGGCAACCAGCATATATTTATGATGGTTGCAGTGTCCCAAGGTCATGTGATCACCATTTGAACACTTCCCAGCTGGCTTATGACAACAAAGTCACTGGGGGAAGTGGGATTCGCTTAACAACCATGTGGTTCACTTAACAACTTCAGTGACCCGCTTAACAGACGTGGCAAAAAGTCATAACATTGAATGTGATTCACTTAACAGCCACCTTGCTTAGCAACAGAAATTCTGGTCCTCATTGGGGTCATGAGTCAAGGACTACTTGCATAACCTGCAGACATTCTTGGGCTTCAGCTCCAGAGTGGGAGTTAAGTCCTAATACGTGAAGAACCACACTTTCTCTATTGGTCCTTTCAGGAACACAAGCACTGCAATAAAAAAATGTTGAGTCACCTTGGTAACATCCATCTGAAATTACTTTGCTTCCCTTCCTACTTAATTATATCCTATAAATCTCATAGGAAAAAAATGCACTTTTTGGGTCTGGAGCATGCAGCTTGGTATGCTTTTTAATTATTTCAGGATGAGTATAATAAGTCTGGTCTAGCCTTCTTTGTCCATCGGTGCGATAATTTTAAAAAAACATTCAGATAATCTCAACACAGGAAGTCCTCGACGTACGACCACAACTGAGCCCAAAATTTCTGTTGCTAAATGAGACATTTGTTAAGTGAATTTTGCCCCATTTTACAACCTTTCTTGCCACAGTGGTTAAGTGACTCACTTCAATAGTTAAGTTAGTAACATGGTTGTTAAGTGAATCTGGTTTCCCCATTGACTTTGCTTGTCAGAAAGTTGAAAAAGAGGATACCATGACCCTAGGACGCCGCAACTGTCATAGATATGAGTCAGTTGCCGAGCATCTGAATTTTAATCACGTGACCACAAGGAGGCTGCAACGGATGTGAGAGGGAAAACAATCATAAGCCCCTTTTTTCAGTGCTGTTGTAACTTTGAACGGTCACTGAATGAACTGTTGTCGAGGACCAGCTGTATTTGGTTTTTGAGCTCACTCACAAGCGCCTGAGTCCAGGTCACTAGATGGTCCCTGTCCCTACTGGCAGCTCAGAATCTGGTGTGGCAGTGCAGCCATGTGTTTATGTGTTTAACATCTTCCCCAACAGGAAACTTACCTTCTACCTTGGAAACAAAACCAAAGCTACGTTTAAGGTCAGAGCAGATGGACTGCATGCACCAACGAAACTTGGCATCGCAGCGATATTTATTAGACCCACAGGTATCATAACATACATCCAGCTGGTTGCAGCATTTAGTCATGGCTGGGATGCCCATATCAAGCTGTAAAAAGAATGCCAAGAGACAACAAAATTATTCTGGGGGTGGAAATGATTTTCCCCTCCTTCCATATTTCTCCTTTCAAAAAAGCTCCTCATGCCTCGTCACACAATGAATATTTTAACAAGTGAAAGTGCTATATATTTGACTGTCCTGCCCAGCAGGAGGACTGCAGTGAAACGTGAGATTAGGCAAATTGATCTATTTATTTTGGGAATAAATAGGAACCAGGAGAGGATCTCCTTTAGCTGTATCTGCCTATGGCTTTTAACTGCTTTACAGAGTGACAAGATATTGTTCAACGTCCAAGGATGCATTCAGCCAACCTGAATATGTCAACAAAGCGGCAACTGTCCCAAACTTTCTTGGAGATTTACCAGGAAATTTTATAGTTGCAGAGCAAGACTTTGCTTCTGTTGCATCAGGTTGAAAGTACCAGCAATCAGTGAACAGCGAGCCTGGAGCTTGTGCACTTTAATATGCCGTCCAGGGTGAACTTATGCAAAGAAAATATGGAATATGAAAAATGCAAGTTTTATTCAGCAAACACAGATCATTCTTGCAACAAAGAATTCTGTGATTAGGGGACTGGAGGCTAAAACATATAAGGAACAGTTGCTGGAATTGGGTATGTCTAGTTTAATGAAAAAGAAGGACTGGGGGTGACATGATAGCAGCATTCCAATATCTCAGGGGCTGCCACAAAGAAGAAGAAATCAAGCTATTCTCCAAAGCATGAAAAGGCAACACAAGAATCAATGAATGGAAACTAACCAAGGAGAGAAGCAACCTAAAATAAGGAGAAATTTCCTGACAGTTAGAACAATTAATCAGTGGAACAACCTGCCTCCAGAAGTTGTGAATGCTCCAACACTGGAATTTTTTAAGAGACTGGACAGCCATTTGTCTGAAATGGTATAGGGTTTCCTGCCTGAGCAGGGGATTGGACTAGAAGATCTCCAAGATCCCTTCCAACTCTTTTATTCTGAATTCTGTAATGTGGGAATTTCACTGCTAGAAAATTGTTCATCTGCTAGGAAATATCAGATGCTGGCTTAATTCTTAAGTCATGGCACCAGCTGAGGTGAGATTAATGGACTTTAATCTGAATCAGATATAAGTATTTGAGCAATCTTCTTATTGCTAATATTCATGTTACAGTACTCTGGCCCTTTAATTATTAAGACAGTTTTCTAGCCAGCATCCATTTCCAAATCTTCCATTTGTAGAAGATATATTTAACACTACAGCTGTTCCTAACAGTTGGGGATTAAATATTCTGTGCCCAACCAATCAAAGAGTGAATTCTATGGGCAGTGGTCAGACAAAAACAAATTTGTTTTGTCTGCCATAAGCAGCTGGCCATCCCCTTTGGCACGTATAGGAAAATAGCTTGCATAACATGGGGTAAGTGACTGTCTAGGCCAACTTTGAATAGAAATAGGTGAGCAATTGCAGCTATTTGTAACAAAGTCAAACGCTTCTTTCTTCCTGGATGTTTTGATCAATTAATTATTTCATTATTTCATCATGGAAATGGGTTGTTAGTACATACACTTTCTGGTACCTTGAGACCCAGGAAATAGGAGCTACAGCCATTGGGTTCTGGAGATTTATAATTTGGTCTAGGCAATGGTGCTTTCCCTGGGGAAAAAAAAGCAAAGAAAAGTACTTTGTGGCAGCCTTGAAAAGAATTATACAGTAAAACATAAAGTCCTGTACGTGCACCTGATGTACTTCAGAGGTTGAATTCCAATTATCATCAGGCCTAGTCAGCATGGCCAGTGATTAGCATGATAAAGTCTAGCAGCAGCTCAAAAGCTAGAAATTGCATTTCTGTCTTTTACAATGTTGTTGGAAAATAGGAAAGGCAAAGCTAGGGTTTGCCAAAGACAAGGTCATAAATTTAATTAGGAATCCTTGAAACATAAACCAATAGGCATACAGAAGATCAGAAACTTTACGTAGGTTAACTCTTCTAACTATAGCTGTATTTCTATTCTGGACATTTAAGTTTTGAATTGCTCATTCTCCTTCTGAAATATAAAAGCAGACTTTGAAAGGGATTCCTTTTGTCTCGGACTTTTAGCCCACTAGTTGTTGCCACTGCAAACAAAAGAACTTTTGGATGTCAAAATTTATGATCAAATAGATGCCACTTCGTGTTACCATTAAAGTATTGTCAAATTTAACAAATAATATGTTATGCCGGCAATCAAAGACTGCAGTTTTTCTATTCCGTATTTAATATTGCAGTTCATGCCCACATTAGAAACTCAATAGGGTTTTTTTTAATAAACGCCTTGCTTTTATTTATTTATACTGTAATAAGGTAATACAACTCAATTACAGAAAGAGAACATTATATTTTTAGAGATAGCATAAAAGAAGCAGGTTTTAAGGGGAAGGATGTATACATGAGAGTTCAAAAGAGTCAAAATGCCAATAACAACTGCATAAGGGGAGCCCCAGTGGTGGAATTCAGCCGGTTCGCACCACTTCGGCAGAACCGGTAGCTAATTTTTTGTTGCCCAGGCTCAGAATGGACTTCCAGAAGTGGCATCCACACAGAGAACCAGTTGTTCACATATTTGAATCCCACCACTGGGGAGCCCTGTGTGTCAAATGTGCAGTGCATTTGAAAAAATGGGTGGGGCTTCGAATTACAGGTAGTCCTTGACTTATGACAATTGGGACCAGGATGCCCATTGGTAAGCAATATGGTTGTTAAGTGACTTGTGCTGAATTTTAGGACTTTCTTTGCCATTGTTTTGAAGCAAATCACTGCAATTGTTAAGTAACTTACCAGTCATGGCTTCTCCCATGACTTTGCTTGCCAGAAGTCAGCTGGGAAATTTACAAATTGTGATCATATGACCCTGGGACAATGTAACCATTGCAAGTGCATGCCAGTTGCCAAGTGCCCAAATTTATGATCACAGGACTATGGAGATGCTGCAATGATCATAAGCACGAACACCAATCATAGGTCACTTTTTCAATGCCATTGTAACGTCAACAGGTCACTAAATGAATGGTTGTAAGTCAAGGATTACCTGTGTGTGGTTGTGACCATCATTGTGCCCCCCATTTGCAGACACCCTGTTTGAGGGAGTTGACAACCTCAAATAAAGAGGAAAACATAAGCTGCAAGCAAAAATTAACTCTTTTCATTACTTATTAACACAGGTAATAATGTTTAAATGGAGTATAACAACACTATCTGGGCTGGCAAAACAATTCTAAGTCTTAGTACTCAAAAAGACTTGAGAAGATAACTGAAGCTCAGGTTTAATCTGTTCTGGAAAGCAGTGAACAAGCAAGTACCCCATCAAAGAGATAATATTCTTTTAAAAAAAATAAATCTCTTCATCCTAGCCCCTTTGTAGATGGTTTTCCTGATACAGTCCCATCTTGTAGATAGTGAAAAATGTGCTATTTCACATGTTGTCAACATCATTTCAACAGGGAAACCCACTCACACTGCAAAAGACTTCATCTTTGGACAGAGATGATTAGTACTGGAAAAAGAAGATTATCTGTCAAACATTTGCTTAGTGCAAAACAAACCTGAAATTTGCTTTACTGTCTAGTCCAGTGCTCTCTGAAGGTACTGTTAATGACAAGTCCTTTTTATCAATGTTAAAACCATAGATGTGGAATTAGCTTATTTAGAAAACACTCATCTAATCATGGGATGCTTCCATTGTTACATTCAGACTTGATTATTCTACAGAAATGTGCATATTTTAAGAATTATTTTTATCCTTTCATTTCTTCAAAACGTTCTTATGAAAGAAGTAATTGGGGCAGAATACATCACCCAGAATACTTGCAGTAGCTAGAAGCTAAGAATATATTATAGCTATTCCAATAATTTTGTATCAGCTTCTTATTTCAGAAGATCATGGGATTGAATCAGAAATAGTTGGTTCACTCTGCCTCAATGAAGGGGGTGGGGTGGGGTGGTCAGCCTATTCTCCAAAGTACCTGAAGGCAGAACTATTGATGGAAACTAATCAAGGAGAGAACCAACCTACAATTAAGGAGAAATTTCCTGACAGCTAGAACAATTAACCAGTGGAACAGCTTGCCTTCAGAAGTTGTGGGTGCTCCATCACTGGAGGTTTTTAAGAAGAGATTTGATAATCACTTGTCTGAAATGGTATAGGGTCTTCTGCTTGAGCAGGGGGTTGGACTAGAAGACCTCCAAGGTCCCTTCTAACTCTGTTATTCTGTTTGTTTGTAAACAAAGTATGATCTCAACCATTGAATTGTGCCCCCAAACAAATAGACAGATAAATAGACAGAGAGACAGATAGAAAAACAGACAGACATACATACAGACAGACATGGTTTTATGAGCATGACATTTGGTGACTACCTAGTAGCTGTTGAGATGAAAAGCATGGGGACAAACTACTGGTGTGTGAAATGGCTATGCATAGTGCTTACATGACTATACATAGTACATATTGCAACTTGGCAAATGGACATCTGTGTCTGTCCTCTATTGGCATTGCTCAAAAGAATGGGTGGGATGGAGGTTCAAAATACTTGCATTACTTTTTAGTAGCTTACTAGTCCACAGAACTGCCTGCAGTATGAAGACAGGCAGGAAATTGTGTAAATTTTCATTGGTTGCCAAGGAAGATTGACATTTTAAGGACATAATAGGAGCAGGATGACCTCATCCTTTTGTCATGACCTAATAGGTTTGTTCCTTCAATTTTACAGGCATCTGCTCCTACATTTTTAACAGGGGCTCTTTATTTTAAGAGGCAAGAGGCATACTTTACATGGAATCCCCATTTAACCCAGATTTATGACTTAATGTACAGTATATTTGCTTTTTATATATGTCGATGTCATTTTCAATTTATAAATTGCACCCTAGTAGGTGCCTTTAGAAAGCTAAAATGTAATAATCAATTAAAGTTTACCATGACAACCTTTTAAAAAAAATGAACAAAAGCAATGCTGTATAACATTAGAGCATGCAAATCATACAGTAATAATGGTAGAGGTATTTGAGGGATTGTCTCCGCATCCCATCAGATTTGGCGGGAGAGGCATATTTATATAT